TTGAAGAAAAATTGTAATCATATACGTTTATTTAAACGTTGAAAACAGATGACACGACTTTCTGAAAGTTTCTAATACATTTTCTCCAAACAGTGTGTCTATTAAAATCGGGCATGAGATTCTGTTTTACGTGTATCTGATGTAAACAAATGGCGGAAAGCAAACAGTTTGTTTGTTAAAATTTTTTTGTACGTACCTTTAACTGTGTGTGACGATGTAATACAGGGAATAAATGATGTTTTATGATATTTTGAATTATATATTTTTTTCAATATGGTACTGACCACGAAAAAAAAATTAGGTACGAAAGATATGTTAAGGTCTTCAGCGGAATAAATGTTACACTGTTAGTTTGTGACCTTCGCCTTGCCTAGTATGGATTTCTAATATACACCCTTGATGGCTCCTTATTAGGTCTAAAACTGACTGTGTAAACTAATGATTTATATTGCATAATAATTTGTATACTTTTGTAACGCTTGTCATTATGCTTGTTTTAATTTTGAATCTTGTTGTTTTGTTAGTTTATCCTATAGTAAATTTAGATCTAATTAGGATTTGCTATGTTCATTTGTTTGATTGTATATCAAACACATTCATTAGTTTTAGTATATTTGTATGATTGCTGCCTCAAAATTTTGAATGTTTTGATGCGTCAAGAGACGAAAAGGTATCATTGGAAAAATATTGCCCGTGAGCACATTCAAATGAATATAAAGGGAGAAACCGAAACTTTTTTTAAAATATGATGCACTAAAATATTATTCGCGACTTACAACTTTGAAAATTAGATACCCTAGTATTTTTTTTATTTGAATGATCAAATGAAGTAATTAGAAAGGATAAATTCATCTCTAGAAATAATATAATTCTAAGCGTAAGAAATGCAATGTAGAATCTCAGTATAAAACACGCCTAAATATTTATGCAGGAAAATGGATTTACAAGTATTGCGAATAAGAAAATAGTTCTTCATTAAACTTACCTTGAAGAAATTATAATTCCTGACAAAAGCCCACAATCGCTCTCTAGTCAATTTTTATACTAGCTGTCATTTTAATTTCGTCATGTGCATTTTCACTTCAAAAATCCATGCCGCTTCAAATGTTTTTACATAGTGCATGTAGTCTAATTTTAAGACAGGGAATTTGCTCCTAAAATAGCTTAGATACGGCATCTAAATTTTTGCAAATTGAGTATTTATGGGGTGGGGGTGTTGAGGTAGCCCATTACCCTGTAAATTCAAAAACCGTGCAATTTGTACACATTTCGGGAACGAAGACCGCATATGTTGCTTTTAGTTTAAATATACATGTACATGTAATGACATTTTATCTCACTGCAATCTTAATCAGTTTTTAGCGAACACATTTCCAAAAATATAAAATGAAACATTTAAAAATGAATTATGCCAGGCAATAAGACTTAATTTGTCATAAACAAAGGAAGTCTGTTTAAATACACTAGTAATGACTTGTCCAGGAGGACTATAGTTATAGGGTGAAGAAGAACCTGAACACTTAGGGGGGATTATGTATCAAATGTTCAAAATTTCGGCAAGTTTTTTTCCCCAAATTTATCGACAAGTATTCGTCTCGTTGTCTTCGAAAAGGTGTACTCAGTGATGGACAATTAGTATGATGGTAAATCTTTTTCTAGAATTCTAACTTTTTCTGAATTTTTATCCAATCATTATCTTCATCTCTTCCAACCCAAGGTTAAGAATCAGCATACAAATTAGTACTTACCGGACGGATGTCAGAATATATAAAATGTGACACTTATCAAGTACCTTTCTGTGCAGTTTATCGTTGACGTGAAATACTTTAGGATAGATTTCTGAACTGTATTGAAGAACAACAGAATTGTTGGTTAGACCACTTATTTGTGGGTATTGTGTCCTGTTGATTATATTTCAAATTGTCTATATGACTCTAGGTCGTGTCTGTGTGACCTTCATTAATAAATAGGATTTGTCGACTTCTACAGGTGTTTCATAGTACACCTGTAGATCAAGGCTCTGTCGGAAAACAGCAGAACTGCTAGGTTAGACCAATCGGTTTGCAACTCAGGAGTGGGTAAATAATAAGTGTAGATTTTTTTTAACAATCTGATGTGGTTTAATCTTTGTTCACAATCATTTCCAGTGCAGATCAAGGAAAAAGTATTTACTACGGATTTTGTTAAGTTGCCCATTCCTTTTTTTCAAATTGATGCCAATGTTGGTAACCCTATCCTCTGTAAGGACATGACATAAGTGTTCGTTTTGATTTCATGAAAGGTGATTCTTAGGGAAGAAATCCAAGCTAACTCAATAAATAATTCATTGTAAAAAAGTAAATAGAGAACATAATATGATTCATTCACAATAGGAAAAGAAGCAGGGACTATAGGATAGAATGAAAACATATCACGATAAACGATGTCATAAATGGAGCATATTCAATGTTTTGTAGTTAGATATGGAAGAGGAAGAGTCGTTATGGGTCATAACCGGCCCTGTTATTGAATAAGATTAGGATTTTTTCACAGGATGTTTACAATGCATATTCCCTAACACAGTTTAAATTTCTACGATACCACTTTTAGTTTTTCATCAGGAGCCTCTTAAAAATGGCATAATTTTCCAAAAAGGTCGTGCTTAAGGGCATGACGTCACGATGTGATTTTTGCGTTATCAATATTTGCTATAAACAACTCTCAAAACTTCAACGTTTAAAATCTGTTAATTTTCTAATATGAAAAGTTTTTCTGTAATTTTTCAAATAACTTCGGATGAATTCACCATGCATCGGACACCTTATCACTTCAGCAAGATCTAGCGATATCGCTACCGACCTAATATTATCAAAATGGAGCTTAACGTGTAGTTTGTGGTTAAAATATAAATTTTTGACACAGTCGTGTTTTATTTATTGGGAAAATATCACTAAAAACGACTTTTTCGAAATAAGTCATAATTCACCATGGTTCGGACAATATTCACCATGCATCGACATACGGTATTTTGAACGAAAAAATAACATACCTTGATCTCGGTGCTATAAAATTAGTAATGTCGAAACATTTTTATCTTTTATTTAAAAATTAACCTTGTAGTTCAATTTGAATGACTATTTCGATCCCCAAATGGGAAGAGATTTTAGGTGCATCACATCGCCTTAGAAAGGCTTTACAATGCTAGTAATATACCATCTCGCGCCTTTATCTCGTGGGTTATCATCATCGAGTTTAAAAAAAAAAAATTAATTGAGCCCACTTCTAGTTGTCATATATCGATAACTTGTATTTTCACTTAAAATTTAAAGTTTTTTTTTCTATTTCCGCAAAAAAACAGCTGTCATATGGGTTTTAGATGAAAATGGAAGTGATTACCAATACATCGGAGAGTGTCCGATGCATGGTTAATTTGTGTCCGATGTACGGTGAAATAAACATACTAGTAAAAAAAACTCTAAAAAGTATTCTACAAACATTGAAGTAAAATTTTTAAAAACTTTCTTTACAATTATCAATCATTGAAAAATTTTACCTAGGTCCTACTCGTTCCGTTGAAGCCTATTTAAAAGAACAACAGCTCTAAAAATTGCAAAATCGTAAAATTCTAGTTACTCCTCTTCGATGATGCAAAATATGACGTAATTTCAAGGCCATTCTTGTGGTATTTTTATCCCAACATGAAACTAAAAATCGGCATCATTAAAAAGTTTAAATCTTCACCTTTAAGATAGAAACAAGTAAAAACGCGGGGACACTCAGGTTCAATAAAGTTTATTGCTTAAAGTTGTCCGAAGCAAGGTATGTGTCCGATGCATGCTTAACTCACCCTACTGGTTTTTTTTTTTTACATTAACCAAATTACATAATATACTTTCTGTAGTTTTAATCTCATGATTTTGAATTTTTTTTTACGATATGTATGCTGAAACGTTAATTGAATAAATACATAAAACGTTTTAAAGAGAAAACTGTCAAAAGTTTATTCCCTTGAAATAAATAAATATTATTACAACAACAATAGAGATTCTTTTTACATATGCAGCAACTACACAAAATAATTTTAACTGAAAAAAAAAACCCCAGTTCGATAAGATTACAGTTTCACGTAGTATAGGTCTCATGGTCAGTAACAGAAAAACAGAGGCTGTGCACAAACAAGCTTTAAAGATTTTCAAAGATGTTTATTGACCTCCTCATTGGTAGATATACTTCAGAGGGTAAGAGACTACAATAACAAAAAGTCATCTTACAAATTGGTAATTAGAGGCAAACAACTTAAAATTATAAACATCAAATTGCCAAAGTTGCTACGAACTAACATTCCACGTTTTACACAATGCCAAAATTCAAAATTTCGAGAAAATAAGGATTCACGACAGTAAACATGCCGTTCACAGATACATGTTCATTGTAGAATATATCAATTGACTTATGAGTACAAGCAACTTCATGTAAAGGTCATGGAAATGTAACAAAATAATACAGATGATGATATCTAATCCAGTTTTCACATAATGCCATGACCATGTGCGCTTTCCAATTCATGTTTCATTAAAATATGCAAAAACAGTTTGACGACAATAAGCGTAGCTTTACATATTTGATAACTAAACAGTATTACACATTTTGCACATAAAACTTACTCTTTGGACTGTCTAATAACAATGAAACAAGTGGCAAATTTGTCGTTGACAAAATGCGGGATCTTCCCGGATGTACACAAACATAATCTGAAACACTATAAAATCTGAACCGGAACGGATAATATCCGTAACACCACACTCCCCTTCTGATTTCTATGGGAAATCACCTTTTGTGTTTTCATTACTGAAAATAATAGATCTTAAGCAAAAATGTACAACATGATACATTGTATCATTACGAAAACACAAGGGGCACAAGTTTATGGATGGGTCTTACATATACTGACACATTGTCCCCTTTAACGACACGAACTTCGACTTCTCGTACATGTCCATCAGCTGAAGGGAAAGTTTTGGTCACAAGAGCCAACGGCCACTGATTCCTTGCCATGGATTTTCAGCCTCCTTCAACATGACAACATCTCCTTCTTTCAAACTACGCTCATCAGAAGTCCACTTGCGTCGAGTCTGAAGAACGGACAGATACTCTCTTTCCCATTTATGCCAAAATTCAGCTGCAAGAGCTTGTACGTAGCGCCACTGAGACTTATATAACTCTTTGGGATCTATTGTGGGTAATGATTCCGGTAAGTGTCCTGTCTTTTGAGTGAGTATCATTGCAGGTGTAAGGACAGATGGGTCGCTGGCATCCTCTGATATTTCGGTGAGTGGTCGTGAGTTCACTATGGCGCAAACTTCTGAAAGAAATGTAGACAAAGTTTCATGGGTTAAACCTTTCATTCCATCTCGGAGAAGGATGCCATCTAAAATTCTGCGAGTTACGCCGATCATACGCTCCCACACTCCACCAAAGTGGGAAGCATATGGAGGGTTAAAGAGCCAGTAACAATCCTTGTCTTGAAGGAATTTCTGCACTGTAGGCTTCTCAACGAATTGGTGCACCATCTGTAATTCATTTACAGCGCCAACAAAGTTGGTCCCTCTGTCTGAGCGGAATTGACGGACAGGTCCTCGTACGGAAAGGAAACGCCTTAATGCGTTAATAAAGGAAAAAGTACTCAATTCCTCTACAAGCTCGATGTGGATTCCCCTGGAGACCAAACAAGTGAACAGAACTACCCACCTCTTACTTGTGGCTACTCCTCCTTGCGTACGTCGAGCTGTGACATCCCAAGGTCCAAATGTGTCGACTCCGACGAATGTGAATGGGGGTCCTGGAGTCAATCGATCTACTGGAAGGTTAGCCATCTTTTGATTGCAGAATGATCCTCGTAACCTGCGACATGTAATACACCGATGGATCTCTGATGCTATGAGATGCTTGGCTCCTATTATCCAGAATCCTGATGACCGTATCTTGCCTTCTGTTATCCGACGTCCTTGATGGAACACACTGTCATGGAAGTGTCTTATCAACAGAGTTGCCACATGGGATTTCTTTGGTATGATTATAGGATGCACATCAAAGCTGACAAACTTCTGAGCTATGCCAATCCTACCACCAACACGCAATAAACCGTTCGAATCTAAGAATGGTGCCAAAGCAATAATGCTGCTATTCTTAGGAATGGGCTTTCCCTTGTTGAGACTTTCTATCTCTACTCTGAACTCAGACCTTTGTATCTCTTTCAGGATAAACATCTCGGCTGCTTTTAGAGAGTTTAAATCCAAAGATTTGGGACAGTAATGCCATCGTCTGGTCGAATACTCACATGGATTCTTTGTCACCAAGATATGTCTCAATATGGCAATACTGTGAACCAGTTTTGTCCACTGTGAGTACCTTTCAAGGCGAGATACCACCAAGTCACAAGAGTCACCCTTGACACTCGTCTTGTTGACTTCAACCATTGGTCTCACTTCCTTGTCATCGTCCAAGATGAAAGCAAAATTCTGGTCCTCTCCCACTAAAGTAGTGGAGAGGTTTTCTTCCCTTAGGAATGCTGGTCCTCGCAGCCACGTACTTTGTGGGAGACTTTGGGCATCGAACACTCGAGTGCCCAAGTCGGCTGGGTTTTGGTCTGTAGCTATGTGTCGCCATTGTTCAGGATCACTAAAGGATCGAATCCTACTAACCCTATTTGCGACATACACATAAAAACGTCTTGCATCATTAGTGATGTAGCCAAGAGCGATCTGGCTGTCACTGTAGAAACAGAAATCATTCTTCTCTAGATCCATCTGTTCTTTAATTATCTCTGCGATTTCTGTCCCAAGTACGGCCGCACACAATTCCAGACGAGGAATGGTGTGCCCATGTGCTGGGGCTACTTTTGCCTTTCCCATAAGGAAACCAACGTCACAGTCATCACTATCCTTCCACACCTTCAAAAACGCTACAGCTGCTATCGCATCCTTAGAAGCGTCGGTAAAGATGTGCACTTCCTTGCGCAATGCTTCGATAACAGAAAACTTGCAGCACATCCCTGGGATACTGATGTCCTGGAGATGGTGGATAGAGCTGACCCAAGCTGACCATTTCGAGTGAAATGAATCATCGAGAGGATTATCCCAATCAACATTGCCAGAAGTTGTCAACATCTGCCGGAATAACATCTTCCCCTGTACAGTCACTGGTGATGCAAAACCAAGGGGGTCGAACAGACTATTGATGGTTGATAAAACTCCCCTGCGAGTGAAGGGCTTCCCATCAGTAGATATCTTGAAGGTGAAGACGTCAGCATTGATGTCCCATGACATGCCGAGACTTCTCTGGACAGGTAAATCATCTCCACCAATATCTAAATCCTTCAGGTCTTTGGCTAGATCATCCGCTGGAAACTTCAACAACACTGACTTAGAATTTGAGGAGATTTTGTGAAGTTTTTGTTGTCCCCCTTCTTTCAGGGCAAGCTGAGTTCTCTTCATCAGGTCAATGGCCATATCTTCACTTGGACAACTTAAGAGTCCATCATCTACGTAAAAGTCTTTCGATATGAAGTCAATCACATCAGGGTCAGAGTAAGCAACACAACGACGTAGTCCATATGTTGAGACTGCCGGGGATGGGCGATTCCCAAAGACATGGACGGTCATTCGGTACTCCTTTAATGGCAGGTCTAAATTGTTTTCTGGATGCCATAAAAAGCGCAAGTAATCTCTGTGATCTAATTTCACCTTAAAATTGTGAAACATCTGTTCCACATCCCCTATTACTGCTACCTTCTCACGACGAAAGCGTAATAGAATGCCTTGAAGATTGTTCGTGATGTCTGGACCTTTCAGGAGGACATCATTGAGTGAAATGTTGTTGAACTTCGCAGACGAATCAAACACCATTCGTATGGAATCTCTTTTTTGCGGGTGATAAACACCGAACATGGGAAGGTACCATCGTTCTTTCGTATCTGGAATAGGTGGTGCTTCCTCTGCATGTCCCTTCTCAAATATTTTGTCCATGAACTTTGACACGTGTTCTCTCTTGATAGGGTTCCGTTTCAAACTACGATCAAGCGACAGTGCTCGATTGATGGCTTGGGGTCTATTGTTTGGTAACAGCTGCCTTTGGGTCCGGAACGGAAGAGGTGCCTCCCAATAACCATCTGGGTTCCTTTGGAATTCTTTGTCCATAATGTCAAGAAAGGTAGTGTCCTCTATGGATGGAGCAATTTTCTCATCATGATCTGTTTTCAAGAAGACATCATCCTTAACCAAGAGCTTGTTATCACAAGGCTGAAACACTGAAGGACGGCCATTGCTCAACACATATGTTTTATGTACTGTCACTTTATCAGGCATGTGAATGGCGTCTAGACAAACAGGCCCGATAATTACCCAGCCTAGGGGAAGTTTCTGAGCGTAGGGAACAGGCTTTCCTGTCACATGTCTTTGGTCCTCAACGACATGAGCAGAAACGAGATCTCTTCCAATCAGTAGTTCAATCTCGGCACTCTCAATCAACTCTGGAATGCTGTCTTTGATATCTGCAAGGTGGGAAAATTGTTCGGCTATATGAGGTGATGGTATTTCCTCCCTGTTGTTCGGTAAATCTGAGCATTCAATTAATGTGGGGAGATCAAAGGAACAACTGCCATCAATGGATTCAACAACGAGTCCCTGAGCCCTCCTTCCTGCTGACATAACTGAACCCGAACAAGACGTCAAAGTGTATTCATACTCAGGTCCATCCACATTGAATGCATCGAGGAGTGAGGGTGCTGCTAGGGAATGATTGCTTTGGTCATCCAACATAGCATAAACAATTCTGCACTGATTTACAGAGTCTTTAAGGTATATTTTCACTGGCAGGATTTTTGCACAAGACTTGCTTGTCCCCTTCACTGTCCCACATATTTTAGTGCAAGAAATTGTGACAGCTTCACGACTTTGCTCCCCTCCATGGTTTTCCTTTTCCCTGCGATCTCGATGACTAGGACTGTCGATATGAAGTGCTGTAGGATGAGAGGACTGGCTACACAAGCCACACTTTACCAAGGTTGTACAATTCTTAGCATAATGTTTGTCAGGCCCACAACACTTTAGGCAGATTCCATTGGCTATAATAAACTTCTTTCTTTCTTCCATAGTCTTAGACCTGAACTTGGTACATTCATTCAGTGAATGTCTTGTGTGATGATAAGGACATCGTACTATATCATCATTTTCACTATGTTTAGACACAGGGGTTGTTTCTGTTTTTCTAGTCCGAACCTCCAGAATGGCTGAATTGTGACGGATGGTTCGCTGATGCTGCTGCACAGACATCTTCTCTGTCTTCTCGTAATTGAAGCTAGGATTGTTCTTCATTTTAGCCAGGTCCTTTATAAACTTCAGAAAAAAGGAGAATGGGGGAAACACAACAGTTTCACGGTTCTTGAACTTTGTAGCTTCAACTGTCCATTTTTCTTGGAAGCTGGGGGGTAACTTTGAAACAAGTAAGTTGACCCCTGTTGGAGAGTCGAAGTATGCAAACAGATTTGCATAAAGAGTCTGACGTTTTACTGAGGCTATTTCATCAGCTAAGTCTGCGAGACTGTACAGTCTCTTCGGGTCAGTAATTGAAATCCTTGGAAATGAGCTGATCTGGTTCTTAAGATAGTTCTCAATCAGTTCTGGGGCACCATAATGTTCCTCCAGCCTCTCCCACACTAAAGTGAGTGCTCTTGTCAGATTTTCAGCATTGCATTTCCGAATTGTGGCTGCTTGCTTAGAGGAGTCTGATCCAAGATAGCGTACCAGCAGGTCCAATTCTTCCGAAGGCATAGTGCTGAGTTCCTCCATAACGGCCTTAAATGAATGCTTCCACTTAAGATAGAAGCTCGGATTGTCATCAAACTTTGTGAGCCGCGACAAACTAAGGTCCTTTTTCAAAAGAAACTTTGCTAAATCTGCAATTGGTTCTTTATTACAGTACATGTGATTTGCAGTCATAGGAATGTTGTTTATGGCTTCACCAGGGGGTAAGCACTGATTGTCACTGTTCACTACAGGCACTAAAGTTTCGCTCTTAAATGGTGTAGCGTGTGGGTTCAAAGGCGATGAGGAGAATTCAGGTAGATCCGGTAAAGAGCCTGAAATTTGTGTCGCATTTAAAGGCTGTCGGGGTTCAGTGAAAACGAGTCGTGCAGGCTGAACATGCATAGATGGCGCAGGATTTGTTTCCCAGGAATGCTGAGTAGGTCCATGAATTGTCTGCTGATGTGGCACAAGGTATGACTCATGTTGCTGAACAGCTGATTGTCTCTTGGGTAAGCTATCAACATACCGTTGTGTCCTCGACATGGAGTCTTCTTCAGGAAGGTTGAAATCTACAGACGTCTGTTTCAAAGCAGTGACTTCAGCCTTTTCGTCTCTATCTCCTCTTCTATCTTAATGGCCTTCAACTTTGTCTCAAGGTCTGCTCTCTGGCGGATGATGTTAGCTTCTTCCTCCAGAAATTTCTTCTTCACAACAGCTGCCCGTAGTTCTGCTTCCTTTCGTTCTAAATAGCTTACATTTGACTTCACTGAATTCCTGTGTGAGTAACGACTCTGTGAAACAGAAGGTGGTGGGGGATTCAATAAAGAGTCTATTCTATTAGACACCATACTTGCTTTACAGAGCACTGTTTTGCATATCAGGTTGTGTGAGGATTCTTCATTATCACTTTCATAACTCCTAACTGTTCTAAGATATTCAATAAACTTTAATGAAAGTTCTTTGTATGCCTTTTCACATGACTGTATTAAATCTCTAACAGATTTTAGAGAGCTTGGATCATCCTTGATCTGATCAGCGTGAGCTGCACCTGCGTCCATATCATCCTTGATGTTGCGTAGCTCCGTCGTGAATTTGGTCTCTCTACGTTCATATTCCTCCTGGGCTGGAGTTCTTAAGTGTCTTCTTCTCTTTGACTCTAATGGTTCACCTGCTTCCATTAACTCTGTGTATAGGTCAGTCATCATTGTTTGGTGATGAGTCCAGATCTCTTACTGTGCACAAACAAGCTTTAAAGATTTTCAAAGATGTTTATTGGCCTCCTCATTGGTAGATATACTTCAGAGGGTAAGAGACTACAATAACAAAAAAAAGTCATCTTACAAATTGGTAATTAGAGGCAAACAACTTAAAATTATAAACATCAAATTGCCAAAGTTGCTACGAACTAACATTCCACGTTTTACACAATGCCAAAATTCAAAATTTCGAGAAAATAAGGATTCACGACAGTAAACATGGCGTTCACAGATACATGTTCATTGTAGAATATATCAATTGACTTATGAGTACAAGCAACTTCATGTAAAGGTCATGGAAATGTAACAAAATAATACAGATGATGATATCTAATCCAGTTTTCACATAATGCCATGACCATGTGCGCTTTCCAATTCATGTTTCATTAAAATATGCAAAAACAGTTTGACGACAATAAGCGTAGCTTTACATATTTGATAACTAAACAGTATTACACATTTTGCACATAAAACTTACTCTTTGGACTGTCTAATAACAATGAAACAAGTGGCAAATTCTGTAAAACCAGTAAAAATTAGAATTTTATGCCGGTTTCAATTGAAATAGATAATCTAAGTGTAATTTAATAATTTTACATGAAAATATTATGGAAAATAATTATTTTGAATTAGTTATGAGCATCAGTGATTTGAGTCGCTCTTCAAAATGGCGATTTCAGAATTTATCAAGACTGACTTATTTATCGCCTGTAAAACCAGTATAAAGTACATTTTGATGCCGGTTTCACTTGAAATGTATAATCTAAGTGTAGTTTACTAATTCTACATGAAAATATTCGGGAAAATAATTATTTTGAATTAGTTATGAGCATCGGTGATTTGAGTCGCTAGTGCTCTTCAAAATGGCTCTTTCCATATTGTATCAGAAACTATTATTTTACGGTCTGTAATAACTTTAAAAAATTCAAATGGATGCAAGTTTGATTTCAGATAGATAATGCAACTGTAGTTTAATTATTATAGATAAAAAAAATAATCCGAAAAATAATTAATTTAAATAAGTTATATCGGCATCGGTGATTTCGGTCGCTCTTCAAAAATTATCAGAACGGTTTAGTTTCACGTTAGCAGGTTGGTAATAATTTCAATAATTGGAAATCAATGCAGTTTAGTATAAAGTAAAAAAATATTATAAAACCACACCTAGTGTAAAATAGAAAATATTATGCCATTGTTATATTCATTTATTAAAACGCTACTCAATAACTCTCATAAAGGTATAGGCACTTTAACGGTTTGAAACAAATATAATTTTTTTGAACCAATCAATTACCGATTAACTGAATTTTTGAGGATACGACTTTTCACCCATTTTCCCTTATAACCAGATATATGCATGCCAGAAATCTACACAATATATAATCCAATTAATTGCATGAATAATTAATCTACCGGTATGCATCAATAAATGTATCTTCAGTGCAAAGTTGGTTAGCATAGGGCTTATAGTCACTTTAGAAAGAAACTGCTCCAAAAACTTTAACCTAGTCGCTCATCTGGTAGTGTGCATCAATAAATGTATCATCCATGCAAGTTTTGTCAATATAGGTCTTAAAATTAGTGTTACTTGGAAATGAGACCTGCTTTAAAAACTTTAGCCTGCTCCAAAAACATTAACCTTGTCATTCTTCAGCTGAAATTGCAGCATCTGAAACTTGACTGGTACAATGAAACATACTACAAGCATCTTCCCTGCATCTCTGATCAATATAGGGCATAGAGGTACTTGAAAAGATATCTGCTCCAAAAACTTTAACCTGGGATGTCTACACCATAATAATACATAAGCCTCAGAACTGAGAGAACTTGAGAACTGTTACTGGCTGACTTGATATTAGGCTTACATATTACTTGGGAGAATGGCTTTTGTAGAATACCTGGTTTACTGATCTCAAGACCTTTGAACTTTGACCTACTTTCCAAAATACACCAGTGCTGATATAAACTTTGATCCTTGATTGCGCTCCCAGTCTATCCCTGGGGGTCATGATTTGAGCAAACTTTAATCTGCATTATATAAGGATACTTGCAAACAAGATTTAAGGTTATCTTCCTAACAAACACTTGCTAGGAAGGTTAAGGTTATCTTCCTTGCAAACACTTGTCCATATAAAAGAGATCTAAAATTATCCTTTACCTCATTACTTTATACCCTATCTTCACATTAGATGAATGATCCCTTATTATGGCCCTACAATCCCCATGGGCCATAATTTGAAAAAAATTGAATCTGCATTATCTGAGAATGCTCTCATATTGTTACCACTTATCATGGCCCTGCTTTTCAGTTTGAGAGAAGATTTTTCTGACATATTCCTAAATAAAGCTTTTATTCTTCAAGAATATTGCCACTCCAACTCTACCCTGGAGATATATTCAAACTGCACTACTTGAGGATGCTTGCATATTATTTAATATCACTTACAGTCCTGATGTTAATGATGTCTTGGTTTAAAAGATGTGTGAAAGTCGGTCAATATATGGGGTCTCACTTGCTCAGTGGTTAGAGCCACGGTACATGTATGCCAAAGACCCTGGGTTGAGTCCCTCTTAAAACTTGATTTTTCACCACCTGTTACATTTGGCACCCAATATGATAAGAATATTTAAAAAAAAAAATCCTGAATTTTCCTGTATATTCCTCTATGAGATCTTTCATATGCACCTACCTTCCCGGGCATGATCTGAACAGAGTTGAATCCATACTACTGGTAGTGGTACCTGATGATGTTTGCAAATCAGTATGACTAATTGTGGCTCTGCTATTTCTTGATAATTATATTTTTTTCTTAATTATGTAACAGGAAAGGAGAAAAATCTGACAGACCAGACAGGGATTCAAACCTGGACCCCCTGAATCTCCAGTCAGAAGCTTTACCAACTGAGCTATTGAACCCACCTGACCTCAACAAATATTTCTACTAGTAAATTAAAATAAAAATATTCTTTTGGATGTTTTCAACAGTTTAAATTTTTTCAAGGTAAGGGGCTGACATAGGGCTGATGATTCATAACCAGTTTCTTTTGTGCTAAGCAGATGAAGATCATAGAGTTAGAGACTCCCTATGGAAGGGACATAGATCATCAGAGGTCTATTACTTCAACTCTCGATCAGTATACCGGTACTCATTTTCAGCTGGGTGAACTGAGACAAATAAGACATAAGAAACTTTAATTAAGGTGTTCAATTCCTAATTGGACAAAATTCTCTATCTTTAAATATCAATCTGATATAAAATACTCTTGCATTCATCTAAAGTAGGGATTGATATGAGGAGAGAATTTTCAAAAATGTTACTACCTCATAAAGATAATCTCATTTTAATCAATATACCCCTGTAATCTTAAATACATGTACTAAGAATACAAACAAATGTTGTAGTGAAAAAAAAAGTAATTTAATTATTATTAGGAATGACACTACAGTTAAACTACTGGATAATGACTCCCATCATCAGTTTGATTAAGTGCATCAGATTTAACAATTTATGGGAGAAGAGACTACATCGAACCATTTAATTGTTAACATTTTACATTTTCAGGGAGGATTTATTTATTGTATCTGTATTCATTTTGTGCCCTTTCTTTTACTTTTTTTACCCTGCTTTTGATTTCTATTTTTAAGACATTGGTTGTAATATATTATCATCTTAAGCACCATGTTTCTAACAGAAATTTTACAATCAAAATGTCGCTTTGTTAAATTAAGCTGTTTTAAATAACAATATTGGTCTGGATATCAAATGTTCATCAAATCCATTATTCATAGTATGTAGTCTTGACATATAACTTCAGAATGAAAAGGAGGTCATCCATGAATCACAATAAAATGATGTCATCTATTTTGCTTTAAGTGTAGCATAAAATAGCTACAAAGCGATCGAGTTGTCTTAGAGAAGGTGGAAAATTGTCCATACAGTGGCCAAGTTCTTTGAATCAAAGGTGATTGTCAATGTGAATTGTTCTACAGGAGAGCTGTCTTAGGGGTGACTTGTCCAGCATTGTAGTGCACGTGCAAGCTGATTTTACAACATATTATCTGGTTATATATTTCCTTAGTTTATATATTCAGTGTGGACCCTGAGGTTCACGCAGAAACTCCAGATTGAAGTTTAATAATTGATTGTAAAGAAGATTAAACTCCCCATCCCCACCCTAACAATAATTCACTGACATTGTATCTACTTATTTAGTTTAATGAATGTCTCCCATGCCTATATCATAACTGAACAAAGCCAGATATCTATAGACATGATGACTATACTT